GTGTTCCAACCAATTATGCATCCATATAACAGTGTTCCCATTAATCAGTTTGCTAATCAAACTGTTATGGGGAACTTTATCAGCTGCTTTGCTGAAATCCTGATAAATAACACCCACAGCATTCCCACCATCTACTAAACTAGTAATCTGATTGAAAAAGATATAAGGTTGCCTGTCTGCTTCCCCCCTCACACTGGCTTTGTCTGATCACTGCATCAAGATATTACAGATAGACTCCCGTAAAATCCATTAGCACATTTTTTCATGGTATTGAGCTCAGGTTGACTGGTCTGTAGTTTCCTGGATTTTCTTTTCTGCCTTTTCTGAAGAGAGGAATAATGTTTGTCTTACTCCAGTCCTCTGGTATCTCATGTGTTTTTCCAAAATTTCTCAAAAATGATGACAAATGGTTCAGAGAGTACACCAGCAAGTTCCTTCAGTAATCTAGGGTGCAGTTCATCTGGCTCTGCAGTTTTGAACTTTTTTAGGTTAGGCAGGTGATTTGTGACTAACTCTCTATCAGTCTCGATTTGCATCCCAGATCACTTGTCAAGGTTTATGCTGATACATGGAAGCACATAGTTCTCTTTTTGGGAGAAAGCTGAAGCAGAATAGGTATTGAGGAGTTCTGCCTTTTCATTGTGAATTTTCATTGTGATCTGTTAGCATTTTACTGAACAGTGGCCCCACTGTCTCCTTGATCATTCTCTTGCCCCAAATGCATTTGGACCCCCCCTTTGCTACTTCTTGCTTGCCTAATCAGTCTCAGTTCATTCTGAGCTTTTACTTGTCTTATACTATTCCTGCAAGCTTGAGCTACACATCTGTATTTCTTCTTGGAGATTCATCCTTCCCATTCTTTATACACATTCTTTCTTCTTTTCACTTCTTCCTTGAGCTTGCTGTGCAGTCACACTGTTTTCCCCAACCCCCATATTTCTTATTTTTCTTCTACCATGGTATCGTGATCATGTTTTTTGCAACTCCTTCTTCAAGAACTCTAATTCTTGCTAGGTACCTGTTCCCTTTAGTATGTCCAGCAACGGAATGCTACCTGGTAATTCCCTGAATTTATTAAAATCAGCTTTCCTGAAATCCAAAGTCCTTGTTTGACTATACTTGTTTGCTCTGTCTTACATTTGTGAATCTAGCATTCCATGGTCACTTCCACTTAAAGTACTGACTATTTTGATTTCAGTGACCAGCTCCTCCTAATTGGTTGTGATCAAGTTCAGCATTTCTTATCCCCTTGTTCATTAATGTTTATATGAAACGGCTGGGGGAAATCATCCGTAGACATGGGGCAGGGTGTTATAAGTACGCTGATGACACCCAAATATATGTCTGTATGTCTCAGTCAGCAGCCATGATGACAGATGGTATTTCTCCCCTCAATCAATGCCTTGGAGCGGTAATGGACTGGCTGAGGAAAAACTGACTCAAACTGAATCCAGAGAAAATGGAGGTGCTTACAGTAGGACCCCCTAAACCAGGTATTAGGATACAATCCCCAGTCCTAGATGGGGTCATGCTTTCCTTTAAGGACTATGTTTGCAGTTTGGGGGTGCTCATAGACCCGTCGCTTCACATGATTGATCAGATGAATGTGACGGTCAGGAGCGCCTATTATCAGCTTTGGCAGATACGCCAACTGCGCCCTTACCTGGAAACAAGGGACCTAGAAACTGTGGTACATGCACTGGTAACCTCATGACTCGATTTCTGTAATGAACTCTACATGGGGCTACCCTTTTACCTAGTTCAGAAACTACAATTGGTACAAAATATGGCAGCCAGGTTGATTACTGGGAAATCCAGAAGGGATCATATTAACTGATCCTGAAGTCCCTTCATTGGCTGCCTCTTAGTTTCCGAGCACAGTATAAGGTGTTGGTGCTGACCTTTAAAGCCCTACATGGCCTAGGTCCAACATATCTAAGGGATTGGCTCCTTCCATACAATCCACCCCACACCCTCAGATCCTCTGGGAGGAACCTACTCCAACTAAGAAAAAATGAGATTAGTGGGAACCTTCCAGAGGTCTTTTTCTATCGTCGCTCCCAGACTATGGAATACCTTGCCGGAGGAGATCTGTCAAATTACCAGTCTGGATAATTTCAAAAAAGCCATCAAGACAGATCTCTTCTGGCAGGCCTTCCCTGAATAGAATATACTCTACAAATCTCTATCTCTCTCTCTTTTACATTTTTTACATTTTTACATTCACTGGTATTAGAATACCAGATATTTTTACTATTTTAGTTTCTAATTTAATCCTTTTTTTTAAAGGGGGGGGGTTTAATGTATTTTATTATGTTTCATTTGATGTGTGAACTGTTTTATCTTGTTAATATTGGAAGCTGCCTTGATTGCCCTGGCAAAAGGTGGGGTATAAAAATAAAGTTTATTTATTATTATAGTTTATATACTTTCCTCTACCTTTTGAAACAGGAAATTATCTGCAAGTCACATCAGGAATATGCTGGACAGCCTATGCTTAGCAGAGTTAGGGCCTCTGCAGATGGGCCAAAAGGGTTGGCAGAGTGCTGCCCCGAGAAGTGGCAGATTGGGGCTGAGGCTGCCGGACTGCGCAGCCCCAATCCTCCCTTTTGCCACCTGGAAAAGAGCGGCAAAATGCCACTCCTTTTACGGGTGGTAAAAGGCCACCCTAAGAGCCGGCTCGCAGCTCTTTAGTTCCCCTTCTGGCACAGCATGTCAAAACGCTGCACCGGAAGAATGTCCTGACACCATGCATAATGGCACACAGCATCAGGATGTCCTCAGTGCAGGATTGGGGCAGCCAGCGTCCCCACCTCTGCCTCCAGGCCAGCCCTTTGGGCTGGTCTGTAGAGGCCCTTAGTCTTCCAGCAAATATCAAGATCCAAAGTTTATAACCAATTGGCTCTTCTGGGTATTTTGCAGAGGATTCCTAAGAATGAATGGAAATTTTAAAGTCCCTTTCAATCTCCAAAGTGTTAAAGCATTGTAAAAATAAATATTGCAAACTGAATAATAAATGTCCTGGTTTAAAGATTACACACAGGTTTTATTTGCCATAGAGAGGCTCTGCCACTTCCAATGTCAATCTGATCTTGGATAAGAATTATTTGCCAACTTTGAAATAAGATCAAGAACCATTTGCCAAAAAGGTTGCTGCGCTGCCGCTGCCGCTGCCGCTTCATTACTCTCTCTGTGCCACCATCCCAGGTGTCTACGGGTAGGGGGGCAGCAGAAATGTCATTTCCATCTTATGATGACCCTCTTATAGGGATTTCAAGAACAACAACAGGACTTGGCTTTTGGTTAAACTGCTTGTCTCTGTTTCCTGGTCTCTGGGTTAATTATAACATGGTTAGTTTAGGCTGTGTTGTTATCTGCCTTCAAGTTAACTTATGGTGAGCCTGTCATAGGATTTTCTTGGTAAGATTTGTTCAGAAGGGGTTGGCCATTGTTCTCCTCTGAAGCTGAGAAAGTATGACTTGCACAAGGTTATTCAATGGGTTTCCACTGCTGAGCAAAGATTTGAACCCTGGTCTCCAGAGTTCTAGTCCAATATTCACACCACTATATCACTCTGGCTCTCAGATGTGTATTCAGTGACATTGACCATCTGTGTGGTGAGTAGTTCTCAATCATAGCTAAGGTGCAGGTGTAATGTGCCAAAGAGAATCTGTTTTTCTCTCACACACCCACACAGTAAAACTCTTATATTAAAGAGAATCCACAAATACCTACTTCTTTACTTTTGAGCTGCAGCATCAAGTAGTCCCTTGCATATATCAATGGGCTATCACATATAGAACATTTCTATCCACCCACTACATCAAATCAAGATTAATTTCTTTGGATGGGAACAGCTCATTTAACTGCCTGCTATCAAGCCTAGAGAAGTCTAACAGTGTTCTTGGGGAATGGGGATTCATGAATTGAGATAGATGCTGGCTATATTTCTCTTCATGTGTCCTTGTTTGGAACAAAGCCTGGATTGTTTATTTACCAAAGGTCTTTCACATCATTTGTCCATTTTTTTTAAAAAAAAGTTTTAGTGTATGCAAAGCACCTACTGCATTATTGAGCCACAATCTCATCCAAAATGGAAGCGTTAGGATGGCTTGCTTAACAATTATGTCTGAAATCATAAAACTAGACTTATGAGGGTACTTTAGCAAAAATCCCCTTACAAAATAGTTCATCACAAATTTAGCACTCATCTAGGAATACCCTCCAGGCAGTGCTCATCCATTTCTAAAATTCAGCCTGGATGTGCTTGAGGTAACTGAGACCACTGGTCTATCAAATGCCATTAGTAAGGGTGAAAACAGAGCATGGAATTTCATCTTTTGGATGAATGTATGTGATATATCTCATGACAGAATAATATCCGGAGGAGGTCAGCTGCCCTTGATGATCACCCATGCAACAATTTTGTGCCTATTTGGGATAATAAAATTTCTTGCCTTCAGTGACCCACACTGACATTTGTTCAGTAGCATAATGATCTCCAGCTCACACTTTCGAATACCTTGGAGCTGTTGCACATTATTCAACACTATTCACATATGTGCTTAAGACACTACATCTGAACAGAAATCTTATAATGGCCTCTAATCTTGTACTTTGTTATTCCATCCATGCCATCCAAAATTTGTGTTTGAGATTTGTGATAACTCTGATATTTCAGGTTGAGAATAAAATGTATCAAGGGAATGTTTCATGATCCCATTTCCTTTATAATACTGTGAAGCTAGTCCCCACATGATAATAATGATGATGATCGATTCTTCTTCCTTCCCTCCTCTTTGTTGTCGTCCTCCTTCTTCCAGCTGTGTGTATATCACCCCAAATCAAAGTTCTTTATATCCAAGGGAATTTATTCTTTTACTTTCAGATCTGTATGTAAGTTTCTTTCATAAAGATGAAAACTAAACTATAGAATTCACATTCTGAGTTCAGAATGATTTTTTCAGTTCCAAAATGACAATACTGATATGCTGAGAGCCAGCCCGGTGTAGTGGTTTGAGCATTGGACTAGGACACCAAAGACCAGGGTTCAAATCCCCACTCAGCTATGTAAACACACTGGGTGACTTTGGCAAATCACATTCTCTCAGCCTCAGATGAAGGCAAAGCAAATTCCTACTTGACAAATTTTGCCAAGAAAACCCCTGATAGGTTCATCGTATGGTTGCCATAAGTTGTAAATGACTTGAAGATAACAACAACAGAGGGAAACTTCATTTGTACAGTCTAAATGTAGATTTTCAGTGTCACATTCTCTACTTTGAAAATCAGAAAGTAATTCTGTAAGGTATGCAAAATGTAGTTTCAGTTTTAGCTGGGAAAAAATTCAGCTTTGCTTGCTAGGAGCCTCAATTACGAACCACAAAGACCCTGATGGACATCAGATCTCTACCATGAAGTCATTTAAAGTCCTTAGATCCTTAGATAAGCCAGTATCTCTCCACTTGACCCTTCCTTCTGCAAAAGGAATGTAAAATCAATGTACCTTATTGTGTTGTAAGGAGTACAAGAGAGCCAGAGTGGCAAAGTGGTATGAGTGGACTATACTTCTGGAGATTGAGGTTCAATTCCCTGATTAGCCATGGAAACCCACTGGGTGACCTTAGGTGAGTCACACAGTTTCAGGCCCATAAAACCCTGTGATAGGTTTGTCTTGGGCCACCATGTCAGAAATGACTTGGAGGCACACAACAACAAGGATTACTAACATAATGAATGTGAAATGCCTTGAACATTTGTTTTATTGTTTTCCATTGAAATGTGGGACTTATCATAGCTTAAAATTTAATGTCAGTGAGATATTTTATTCACTAGAAAGTTTCATATTCTTTGGAAATCAACCAGAGCCTAAATTCACTTAAAGATGAGGTACTGAAACAGTGGAGTAGTCATTTGTACAATCAGGCTGCACAAACAATGCACTGAAACTGTCAAAAACTATTGAAGAGCAATATTCACAGAATAGCATTCTCAGCACAGAAAATAATATTTCTGTGCAGAAATACTATTCTTCCTATTCAGAAAAAGCTCCTTCCTACATTGAAAAATCCTCTTTTCTGTGCAAAACCCCAACTCCATGTATGAATTTTGCAAAAAACAAGTTCCAAATTGTGAATAGTCTTCAAAGACTGCAGTTGCTGAAGACTTTCTTGCAGGAGAATGAAAATAAATAAAGTTACTCATTGTGAAGGACCACATTACTAGTCAGCATTCATCTCCCCCCCCCCAATAAACAGGGGGAAGATTTCCTTATTCTTGGATAGGCAGCAAATATATCTGGAATTGTTACTACACACCACATTTATATACACTGGTTTATATGCCCCCTTCACCAAACACTGGTCATTTAATTTAATGTATATGTCATCATTTATAGCAATTTATATGCTAGTATTGTGAATTTCTATGGGATTTCCAGATAATTTGCTTTTTCTTCTATATAACTCCCTGAGTACTTTCATATTATTTGCTTTCCATATATACAGTAACAAATGATGATAAATTCATTAGTACAAATGAGCAATGATGATCATCAGGCAAACTAAACATAAAACTCAAATGGCTTATAAGTAATCAATAATTATGTGGTATGCTTGATCTTCAGTATGCAGGACATCTCTAAATGGTATCATTAGAATGATAATCAGATTATACCACAGCTGTTTAATTATGGAGACTGATTAAAGCTACATTTTTTTCATGTTCATTTCGGTTGTTATTTAAGTCACATTTTCCCCTGGCTGTTACATAGAAATGTGGAAAAATATATATGGATTATATTAGTGTTTGGTAAAATTCATAATATTGGTTTCCTCAAGGTCTTTCATAGATGACATAGAGATAAGCACTCTGCTCCTCATCTGTAATAAAGCAGAGTGGGAAGGAATATGGAAGATGAAAGATAAACTTTAATGATCTAAACTCCTGAATTTGGATTTAATTTCTTCATGGAGGTTTTTTGTCCTAAATGACAAAATATATCGTTAAAATTTCTCCTGACACCACCATACCTTGTTTATTCTCAGCAACACAAATCTACATGTATTGAATATGGAAGAAGCAGAAAATGTATGACTCATTTGGCTGCAAGGCCTTACTTTAGGGTTGAAAAGTATCCTACTGAATGTATTTTACTCCATTCTACTCAGCCCCTAAGCAGTCAGGGAACAGGGACTGAGCTAATGTGAATCTATAAACTTGAGATCCTGTGGCAAAATATGTTTTCAGGATAGATGTGTCTGGGGATTGGGATGCCATCACAGAGAAAGGGCAAGGTTAACAATAAATCCATAAAGCTTCTGCTTTAGGGAATGAGGAGGAAAGCATTTGAATCCTGAGCCCTTTTCGCATCTGGTAGTGTGAGGAGATAATAAATACTACTAGTAATAATTAATAAACAGTTGTGGGAGTCTTCAAATGTCCTCTTGGCACTCTCTCACTCTTGCTGTATTATACATAATAAGGCTTGGAAACTCTGCAAGTGGATATGAATTTCCAGGCCCAGTATAAGGTGTTGGTTATGACCTTTAAAGCCCTAAATGGCTTGGGTTGAACCTATCTTTGGGACCACCTCCTCCCATACAGTCCTCCCCATGCACTCCGGTCCTCTGGGAGGAGTTTGCTACAGCCAATGAAATCTAGGCTATCTGCAACCTCCCAGAGGGCCTTTTCAGTAACTGCTCCCAGACTATGGAATGGCCTGCTGGACAAGATCCATCAGATTATGAGCTTAAACAGTTTCAAAAAGGCTGTGAAGATGGATCTCTTTTGACAGGCCTTTCCTGACTAGAATTCCTGGCCTTAGGAGTCTATTAATTCTACCTTCCTATTGTTGGTGCCTTTGCTTGTGTTAATGTTTGTTCTAATCTGTTTATTTTATTTCTGATGTTTTATTTTAAGTTGTTTTAATGGACATCTGGTTTAATACTTTTTTAATAATAATAATAATAATAATAATAATAAAATTTATTTCTATCTTGCCCCTCTACCAAAGCGATCAGGGTGGCTTACATCAGTAAAATATCACAATAAACCCTCCCAAAGCCCACCCTCCCCTTAAAACAATATTAAACATCGTGAACATTAAACAATTAAGACAATTATTAAAACAATTTTTAACAATTTATAGTAATAAACTTTAAAAAACAATCTAATAGGCCTTAAGGGGTTGGTGGGTTTGGGGATTTTAGCATGTATCTTGAGACAGGTGATATTGTACAGAATTTAATTGTTATAAGCCACCCCGGTTGTTTGACAGAGAGGTGGGGTATAAATAAATTAATACTACTACTACTACTACTACTACTAATAATAATAATATTTTTGGGCCCTTACTGTATTGATAATCCAATTCATCTCAATAATATGAAGATTACTGCTTGCTCTCTTTGTATGAGTATGTGTGCACGTGCCTGCTCATTCTGTTGTCTATACGTTAACTTTGGATGGGAAATTTCAAGATCACTGTTTTCCTATTTTATGAGTCTTTAGCTTTCAACTGGGCAGCCTTGCAAATAGACACTGCCATCAGTTTCAAGATGATCCTCTGTAAAGTGGAACAAGCACAGTCACTTTGGCAATTTACATGACAGAGAAAGCTCAACATAATCATGGGTCCATTTTCCTGTTGCTGATGTGAATTTTAGTTGTGAAGTGATTCAATATGTTTATATTCCTGATGCCAAATAGCTGGTGAGATTTACCTATTAACACCATTGGTATGATTTCCTTTGAGGCGCTGAGAGTGGAATATATGAAGGTGGGCATCATCATGTAGATAGTTTCCCTTCTGTATTGTTTCACTGTCTTGCTAGTGTGATTTGAATGACTCTGAACCTGCACTGTGTAATCTGGCAAATTGAGGAGAACATCAGGGACTTGGGTGCTGATCTCAATCAGCAAAGTTATACATTTCCAGGATGTCCTTCATATAGCTGGGCCCAACCTCTTTAGAGCTTCAAAGTCTACAACAGCTTAAATTGTCCACCCAGACCAGCATCCCATCTAGAAGTGGCCAGTGATGTGCTTCTGAAAAACTTATCAGAAAAAATACAACTGGGGGAGCTCTACCATAGAAAAGCAATCTGCCTCAAGTTACTGGGGTCACTCTTTCTTTCCTCTGTAATTAGGGTTAACCTTAATCTGACTCCCCCCCCCATCCAAAAAATAGTTTTGCAAAATCTAAGATAAGGTGCATAGTCAATGTGTACAATCTGCAAAGTGAAGTGCATGACCCTGCCCAATCTTGCTTTGACTGTAAAGGTCTCCCCAATGTTTTGTTTTTAAAGTGATGTCTGATTATTTCAGATGTTGATTTTCTGTGTTTTTTTTTATATTGGGGGATGAACCAACAGCTGCTTCTGGGAGGAAATTGCCACTAGTCTCATTGAAGTCGCCCAGTACTTACATTAGAGGATTGGTCAAGTAAGTGTTGCTTGCACAGGTGAAATTGTTATAGCACATTTACTCTACAGATATGCATGTTTAATGCTATTTAAACAATCATGCATTTTCTTAACGAATCCTGACAATTATATTTTGGCCTCAGAGATATGTCTGAGAGATTTCTAGCCTCAGTTCAGAAAGTGAAATTCCTTGAGTTCTCTCAGGAGAGAATATGACTTTTAAACTAGTTCATCCAGATAGACCTTCAGATTGCATTTTTGGATTATATTTCTACTCCATTTTTCCTCTCAAGACTTCAATATGATACATGTGGTAGACAGCATGGCATAGTGGTTTGAGTGCAATGCTACAACTCTGGATACCATGGTTTGATTCCCAGCTTGGCCATGAAACCCACTGGGTGACCTTGGGCAAGTAACATGTTTTCAGCCTCAGGGGAAGGAAATGGTAAACCTCCTCTGAACAAATCTTGCCAAGGAAACCCTATGATAGGTTTGCCTTAGGGTCACCAAAAGTCAGAAACAACTTGAAGGTAGACAACAACAATAGTCCATGTGCCTCTGCCCTAATGTTATCCTCAGGCCAAGAGAGAGTGACTGTCCCAAGGCCTACCTTATGGACAGGATTTGTGGGTGAGTAGGAT